CTCCAGCTTTGTTCTTTTTTCTCAGGATTCCTTTAGCTATTCGGGGCCTTTTGTTGTTCCATATAAATTTTAGGATTCTTTGTTCTATTTCTGTGAAAAATGTTGTTGGAACTTTTGATAGGGATTGCATTGAATCTATAGATAGCTTTAGGAAGTATGGACATCTTAATTATTTTCATTCTTCCAATCCAAGAGCACGGAATATCTTTCCATTTCTTTGTGTCTTCTTCAATTTCTTTCAGCAATGTTTTATTGTTTTCAGTGTACAGATCTTTCACCTCTTTGGTTAAGTTTATGCTCCTCTTTTCTCTTTGATCTCATCTAACTCCCTCTCTCCCTCCTGCTCTCTGCTCCAGCCACACTGTTCTCCTCATTGTTCCTTAAATATCCCAGGCGTGCTCCCACCTCAGAGCCTTTGCACTGGCTGTTCCCGCCACTGGCGTTCTTCCCCCCAGATATCTGCATGGCAAGTTCCCTCACCTCCTTCACAGCTTTACTCAAATATCACCTTCTCAGTGAGGCCTCCCCTGATCACCATATTTACAGATTGTGCACCCCCCCCGACTCCTTAACCCCGTCCTCCTTTATTTTTCTAGCACTGAGTACCATCTGATATTATAAACTCTGCTCGTTTATTGTGTTTATTTCCACCAGAGCGGAAGCTCCAATGATGACGGGATTTTTGCCTGTTTCAGTCATTGCTGTGTCACAAGTGCCTGGAACAGTGCTGGGTGCATAGTAGGCACACAGTAAATCATTGCTGAATGAATGAATAGTAGTAATAGTGCTGGTGGGGCCAGCAGGAACAGGACCCATTTACAGAGCCCGTACTGTGAGTAAGCCCTTTACAGACATGATTTCATTTTATCCCTAACAGTGAGGTGGGGCCTATTATTATCCCTATTTTGCATGTGAGGGAACTGGGGCTCAGAGAGGTTAAATCACCTGCCTGAGGCCACACAGTGTGCAAGTGGCTGAAGGTGAAAAAAAATACCTGTTGTTCCTTCTCCTGCAAGGGACGCAGAAGTCACCGGATGATGAGACTGTGCTCTGAAGTTCTCTGGGGGAGGTTGCTGGACAAGGGGGCGTTGGAGAGGGCCTGGGAGGAGAAGTAGGGCTGGCAGCCTATGTGTGTAGGGGGTGAGTGGGGGGAATCCAAGAGCGAGTAAGTTTGGAGGGGCCTCGTGGTGTTTGGGACTATGCATTTGGGTGCCACAGGCCCTGGGGTGGGGAGTGGCTGCCCAGGGATCATTACCCCCAACCCCACCCCACCCAACTCTGAGCTGGAGGACGCAGGAGAGGTGCCAGGAAACCTTGCTAAAATTATTGCCCCCCCCGGCTGACTTTCCTAAACAGTCCCTCTGTTTACCAGGTCATCCCAGTGACCAGGAGGCCCCAGGGCTGTGGCAGCAGGAGTTGGGCTGGGAGACCTGGGCTTGGCCAGGCTGGGGGCGGGGATGAAGGTGCAGCTGACCCTGTGGTTCCTGGGAAACCAGCAGCCACAGGGTCCAAAAAGTCGGGGATTTGGAGCCAAAGGGCTGTAGCCTGGCAGGGGAAGGAGAGGGAGCCGACCCCGGTCCTGTCCGTCCCAGAGGAGTAAGCACCACCCACTCCTGTTTACTGAGCATCTGCTCTCCTCCATGCTTGGGGCAAAATGCTGGAAGTGCGCTAGCTCATTTAATCCTCCAGAGGCCCTGTGAGCAGGGTACCAGGACTCAGAGAGGTGAAGTAACTTGCCCCAGGTCCCCCAGCTAGCAAGCAGAGAACTGGGCTTTGAACCCAAGTCTGTGTGGTTCCAAAATTCCTGCGCGTGTATGAATCTATCTGAGGTTTTCCTCAGAACACCTGGGAAAACCTGGCTGCCATTGAGTCCCTTCGCCCAGCCCCCGCTGACCTGCCAGTCGTGTCTCCAGGAGACCCTCCTGATCGCTCCTTTCTCTGCACTGCCGGAGTACCCCTCACATGCGCCCCTCCAGGGCTCTTCATTCTGTCTTGAAGGTGGCGACTTTCACATCTGTCCTTCCATTGGCCCTTGCATCTCTCCGGGCAAGGACTGTGTCTTAGTCAGTCTAGGAGCACAGCAGTTGGCTCACAGGTGGCGCACAATATATGTCTCTGGAATTACAAGGAGTTAGAGCTGTTTTATCACTGTCTCTTGCGCACGGAGCCTGGTGCTAGGCATTCATTCAAAGGCATTTCCTGAGGGTCTGTGTGTCCCATCCATGCTGTGAGCTGGCACAGTGGATGCCAGGATGAACACTCTCAGCCCCAGCCCTCAAGGAGATCATGTCCAGGAAGGAAGTAGTGATAACGCCCATATCTTGAGGGCTTCATTCAGAGTGTTTCTTGAGCCCCGACTCTATGCCTAGCACTGTGCTAGATGCTCTGTACATATTATCTCATGTAACGGAAGGTACAGGTTGCTTTTCTCATCCTTGCTATTGTTAAGGTGACACAGAGAAGTTAAGTAGCTTACCCAAACTCACACAGCCAGCAAGTTAAGCCCTGATCTGATGGTGATGACTACAACACAGCAGGTGGACCAGGGAAGTTTGTGGCATGAAATCTCAGTGTGTATATAATAGTTGTATATTATTAATACGTGGTAATTATACCAATAACAACAACAGAGTAGCTAGGATCTGTTGAAGGTCTCTTTTATATTGGATTAGTTACATATATCATTTCATTTAGTCTATACCACAATCTGGTGAAATAAGTACCATTATAACCCATTTTGCAGATGAAGAAACTGAGGCAAGAAGAAGTGAAATCACTTGGCCAAGGTCCATGGCTAATAAAGGACAGAGCTGGGGTGCAAACCAGGCCAGTTCTCCGCAGACCCTGTGCAGGATGCAGTGTGCCATGCTGTCTTCCTGCAGGCGCCAGGCAGGCCGGCAGCGGTGGGGGGCAGATGGTGGGGCGGGAGCCCCTTGGCAGCGCTCAGATGCTGTAAGGGCGCTGCCTCCCCGGCGGGATCTGGACTGGCTCTGCAGAGAGGGCGGCGTGGAGGGTGTAGTCGGCACAGCCTTGCCCAGGGAATGGTTGGGGGTCACCAACGGGGGTCCGGTTTCTCCTCCACAGGGGGTGAGGATGACGGGAGCTGTGAGGTGAACGGCCGCCTGTACCGGGATGGGGAGACTTTCCAGCCCCACTGCAGGGTTCGCTGCCAGTGCGAGGACGGTGGCTTCACCTGTGTGCCGCTGTGCAGCGAGGAAGTCCGGCTGCCCAGCTGGGACTGCCCCCACCCCAGGAGGGTGGAGCTACCCGGCCAGTGCTGCCCCCAGTGGGTGTGCGACCAGGGAGGGGGGCTGGGGGTCCAGCCCCTCCCAGCCCAAGGTGAGTGCGCCGCTGGCCCAGGCCGGGGGCAGGGCCACCTGGAGGGGTGCACCTGGGGCGGACCTCTTAGACGCCAGGACACCTGGACACATCAAAGCGAAGGTTTTCCTGACGGAAGCTGGGAGGGGGCGGTGGAAGAGGAGACGTGGAGGCCAGTGAAGGGCAGAGTCACGAGACCTCTTGAAAACTGACAACACGGAAGCAGTGGTGTAAGTACATGAGTTTAAATCACGAATAGTTAAAAAGAAAAATTGGTGGCAGAGTGTGGAGGGAAAAGGAAGATGGAGATACTTGAACCAAATTCTCAAATTTCATATCAGAGGTGTACTATTATAATATATACTACAGTTATATTTATAATATAATGATACGTATTAATAATGTATGTATACAAATGAATGTACCACGCGTTCATTTATATAACATAAGTGTTATATAATAGTATTACTATGTTATTATTGGGCTTATCAAAAGAGGAGCTCAAAACTGCCCGGGCAAGTGGTTGCCTCTGGGACATGGGCCTAGGGTGGGCAGAAGGGGAGGAAAGACAATTACTTTCTGCTACAAACTCTTCAGTTTTAGAGATTTTGTTGTGATGTCACTGGCTTTTTAAGATTATTATTATTATATGAATGTGATTTTTCAAAAAAGGCAACCGAAAAGAGGGCATTGGTTCCATAGATGATGGCACCACACGAAGGGCAGTAGAGCATGGTGGGATACGCATGGAGTCTGCCCACGTTCTAAGCCCAGTTCCACCACTTCCTAGCTGTGTGACTCTGAGAACGTTGCTTTAACTTCTCTGTGCCTCGGTCCCTCCAACTGTAACATGAGAATAAGAGCGTCCATCTCACAGAGTTGTTGTGAGGACGGGATGAGTAAATACAAGTAAAGCCGTCATAACAGGGCCTAGCACACAGCGCTCCACTGGTGGTAGCTCTTATCCCCATGGTGGAATGGAATACATCTGATCAAATACACAGGAGAATGCCAGTGAGCTCACCTTAGGTCTAAAATGCAGGATGGGACACCGTACATGCAATGTGATCTCCATTATGTGTGTGCACGTGTGTGTGTCTACAGTTGTATGTGTATGTACACATCATACATACTGCACACATGTGCATATGAACGTGGGATTTCTCAGTCTCGGCACTAGCGCCACGTCGGCTGGGTGACTCCTTGTTGTGGGGCTGTCCTGTGCCCCGTAGGAGGTTCAGCAGCATCCCTGCTAGATTCCAGTAGCCCCACCGCCAGTGGTGACCACCAAAAATGCCTCCAGATGTTGCCAAATATCCTCCAGGGGGCAAAATTGCCCCCAGTTGAGAACCACTGGTTATAAAGGACCAGAAGGAAGGACACCAAAATATTAACAGAGCAGAACAGGACTCGAGGAGGAGGAAGAGCCAGACCACGGGGAACCCACTGTCTTGTTCCAGGCACAGCCTTGGAATCACCAGCATCCTTGCCGCCCGGTCACGGCAGCACCACACACAGGCCCCAACCTCCTTCCTGTAAGATGGAAGTCGTGGACTCCACGACTCCTGTGGAGTCGTGGAGAAACTCACCGTTTACTGGGGGACCATCATCGTTAGCACCATCATAGTTGCCTAATGACCAATATTTACGAAGTGCTGACAAGTACCAGGCACTGTGTTCAGCACTTCACCTCCAGTATTTTATTCAATCCTAACAATCAACTATTAGGAAATTGACATAGGAAGAAGCTGAGGTCCAGAGAGGTTAAGCAACATGACCAAGATTGCACTGCAAGCCGATGGGTTGATTTGGCTGCCAAGCCCTGATCTCGCAGTGCTGACCCCTTTTTCTTCCCCCCAGGACCCCAGTTTTCTGGCCTTGTCGGCCCCCCACCCCCTGGCGTTCCCTGCCCAGAATGGAGCACGGCCTGGGGCCCCTGCTCCACCACCTGTGGGCTGGGCGTGGCCACCCGGGTGTCCAACCAGAACCGCTTCTGCCGACTGGAGACCCAGCGCCGCCTGTGCCTGCCTGGGCCCTGCCCGCCCGCCAGGGGCCGCAGCCCGCGGGACAGTGCCTTTTAGAGCCAGGCTGAGAACGGAGACTCAGTGCCCACTCTTCCCAGCAGGCAACCTGGGCTGCAGGCAACAGCTCGGGTCCACGGTCGGGCCCTGGAGAACGTTCACAAGCCTCCTGGTCTGTCTGGACCCTGAGATACAGCGGGGATGTGTGTGCTAGTCCCCCTTCCTCTAACTCACAGGCTTGGAGGCTGGCCAGGTTTCTAGTCTCTTCTAGTCCATTCCCACCTATGCACAGCCTTTATCAAACATGCGCATGGGCTAGCTTTCCAGGAGATGGGGCAACCATCTCTCCCTTAATCATTAAGCTGAGCTAGGTGCTGGGCTGGACTTGCTTTTTTCTGGGGTATGATGAAGAGGGGCACAAAGATTCTGAATCTCCTACTTCCTTTCCTGGGGTGCCATAAAAACATCCCCGAACACGGGCCTATGCATGAACTTACGTGTCACGCTTGCGCAGTCTGAGAAAGCCCCCCAATCCTGGGCAGAATTCAGGGGCTGAGTTCTTTGTGAAAATCACAGGGTGAAATCACGCCATCTTAAAGAAAGTCAGAAAACAGGCCTTAACATGATCCATTACACCCAGCTCATGGTAGTAAGAACGAACCTTTCTGGGGCACCTGCAACGTACCAGGCGCAGAGCTATTCACTGGATACACTGTATACAGGCCAGTGCTTTGCACCATTTTGACTAGAGAAACGCAGGGACAATGAAGGAAACCTCCGCGGGGCTGGGGAACACGGCCTGAAATAAACCAACCCACGTGTGAAATTCTGTTTGAAGTCTCATGTTTTATTGTTTAAAAAAAAACCCTACATATAAATTTTATATCCTCCTCTGTAGTCTACTTGCGTTTGTTTGAAAATAAAATCTGTTTTCATCAGGATCCAACCAGGAAATTAGAAAACACTTTCAGAACTTAGACAGGGATTTCTTTTTCTTAACTAGTTTTATGGAGGTCTAATGTCCGCACAGTTAAATGCACAGGTCTTACGCGTATGGTTGAACGAGTCTTTACAAATGTGCACACCTGTGTAACCAACACCGGCAATCTGGGTATAAAACGTTTCCATCATCTCAGAAAGTTTCCTCCCCCCTTTCCCGGTCATCCCCTCTGGCCCGCAAAGGCAACTACTGCTCTGATTTCTATCACAGATGAGCGTTGCCTGTTCTTGAACTTCACACAAACAGAATCATACAGTAGGTGGTCTTAGGGAAAGGCTTCTTTCACTGGATACCAGCCCTCGGGGTGGAGTGTGGGAGGAGGGCAGAGCCCAGAAGCCGGGACCAGAGGCGGAAGATGGAATCACAGCAGGGCGGTCCGCCAAGGAGCGGGAGCCACCATGGAGACACAGCCTTGAAGACCTAACGCAAAGCAGATGGAGATGGGGAGACAGAGCCCGGCTTCTGCTCTCTCCTATCCCCCCGTTTCCAGTAGTGTTTCCACTGGTCAAACCTACCAGGAAGGCCGAGGCGAGGGAGCCTGGGAATGTAGTGCCCCGAGTCACAAAGCAGAGCAGGGGACGGGCGAGTCCAGCTCACAGGTCGTAAATGTCCCCCCTCAGAACGGGGCCTCCAGCACCTCACTCGGGTACCACTTCCTCCAGGAACCCCAGTTTGAGAACCACAGGCAGCGTTTGTGCCCTTTAATCTTCACAAAATAACCAACTCTAGTTCATAGACGAGGAAACAGCTTGGAAAAGTGATCTGTCCAGAAGCTGGTCTGCAGCTGGGGTGGGATTTTAGTTCCTGCCGAGTTCAGCTGACTCTCAAGGCTGAGCTGATATCTGGCACAGGCTGAGAGTTTGGGTGGTTCTGGCTCTGCACGGTCAACTCTGAACACAGTGCCAGGAAAAATTCTGATAATATTCCAAGAAACAGTGAGAGCGAGGATGTGAACAACACACCTGCATTGAAGGACTCCTACATGTGGGCCCTCTCTGCCAGGAGCTTTCCCATATAATTGCACACCACCCTTGGGACATCCCGAAAGGAAAGTGCTATTGATAATCCCATTTTAGATATGGGTAAACTGAGACTTGGAGTGATTAATGAGTTGCCCTAGGGTTGCGGTGCTGGACTCTGGGCCAGGCTGGCTGCAGGGCTGTGATCTCACTCCTGAGCGGCTGTGAGCAGAGCCGTGAGGCGCAGGCTTGGCCAACCTGCCCCGTCCTGGCTCTGCTGTTTCCTAGAGTGATCTCAGGCAGAGGACTTAACTTCTTTGTGCCTCAGTTTCCTTTCCTCTAAAATGCGGACAATGGCAGCACTCAACACCGAGGGCTGTTGAGAGTATTACATGACTTAAATACAAATTTTAGCCATAATTATCGTGACGTGACCTCTTAGTGCTTTAGTTTCTTCATCTGTAAAATGGGCATAAATAGCAGTGCCCACCCTATAGGATCACTTGAGTACCTACCACATAGGGGTATTGTGACTATTAGGTGAGTAACTCCTCTATGTTCACCTTAAATATAAGCTATTATTATCACCCTGCCTCCAGGATTCTTTGTAAATCAGAGAGTGATGTGAAGGCGAGGGCTGGGAATCTTCCTATTTGTGGAGCAGAGGAGATAGTGTTGGGGACAAAGTCCCCAGGTGAAAATCAGATCTCCCCACTGAAGCCCAGAGCCAGAGGTACCCAGCCCAGCCATGTCCTGTTACATTTGTAAGTTGCAACAACGTTGTTGCAAGTAACAATAGTGCATTCTTTCTTCTCGCTGTATAATATTCCACTGCGTGAATATACCACATTTTGTTTATCCATTCTACTCTCTACAGGTATTTGAGTAGTTTCCAGTTGGGAGCTATTATGAATAAGGCATTGTGAATATTCTAGTACACGTCTTCTGCTGGATATTGGTGAGCATTTCTGTTGGATATACATCTGGGAGTGGAAATGTTGGGTCGAGGCCTGTGCTCTTTCTCCTGGGTCAGTCTGTCTCCCAGTAAAATGGAGGTCTCTACACGTCAGAGCTGCTCAACGGAGACTTACTGCATAAATAATCGAAATAACAGCTAACCTTTATTGAGTTCTAACCACACACCCGGCTCTGTTCCAAACATCGTCTACGTAATGACTCCCTTTACCCTCACAATAACCCTTGAAGTAAGTATAATTATGCCCATTTCACAGGCAGAGAAACTGAGGTACAGAGAGATTAAGGATATTGCCCAAGTTTACACAGTTTGAAGTTGGCAAAACCAGGATTCAAACCCAGAGAATCCTTCTCCAAAGCCCGTGCTCCTGGCCACCAGGCTACACTGAACGCAGTCGCTGCTGTGTTCAGGGGTCAGGCGCGAGGGCCTGGGCGAGCAGCTGTGGAGTGGGAAAGGAGGACCCGATGGGAGAACCACAGGGCCTGCTTGTGTGATCTTGCGTGAAGGGGGGACGTGAGGAGCAGGGACAGTAAGGCGCCAGACACACCCTGGGGCTTTCTGCTGGAGGTTGGGGACAATGGTGGGGCCATCGACGGACACAGAGCAGAGGTGAGCCCTACAGGTGGCAGATGGGGCGGGGCGTGTCCTAGATGTTCTGAGTTCCAGGAGGCCGTAGTGTGGCTGGAGGCAGTTGGAGATCACAGCTGGGTCAGGTGTGGACACAGAGAAAAGAGTTCAGGTCGAGAATTTGAGTCGCCTGCACAGAGGAGAGATAATCATAAACTCAGATTGACCGGGCCAGTTTAGCTACGGAAACAGCAACCAGTATGAACAAGTACGTGTGAATGTCGGTGTGTATAACCTCCTACCACCCGTCTCCATCTCCACTGCTCCCCGCTGGCCGGGGCCACCACCATCTCTGCCCAGACACCTGCAGTAGCCTCCTCCTGCTCTCCCGGCTTCCACCCTTGCCCCTTACAGTGTGTCCCAGAGGGAGCCTGTTAAAACCAAGCCAGATCACGCCAGTCCTTTCCACTCCAAGAAAAGCTAAAGGCCTTTGCACAACCTACAAGGCCCCCTAGTCACCTCTCTGCCCTCACCCTCAATTTCTCTCCCCCTTGTTCATGCTCTGAACTCGGCCTCCCTGCTGTTCCTTCAACACGCCAGACATGCTCCTACCTCAGGACCTTTGCACAGGTTGTTCCCTCTGCCTGACATCATCTTCTCCTAGATACCCCATGCTTAATCCTCTTGATCTCTTTCAAGTTTGACTCACAAGTCACCATTTCACTGAGAACACACCCCAGCCACCCTCTTCCAATCCCCAGTGCATGTAGCACACATCACCTTTTAACACACTACGTAACTTATAACATTCAGTATTTCTTGCTGGACTCCACAGTGCTGGGACTTCACCTGTCTGCTGTGCTCTCTGATGGATTCCCAGGACCTAGAACAGGGCCCAGGACAGAACCAGGCTCGGTCGTTATTGAATGAGTGAAATAATATATCTTGCTTTTTGAAAGGGATTTAATTGGGCTTAGAAAAGTAAATATGTCGATGGCAAATGGGGGTGGCTGCCCAGTCCACAGCGATTTCCCAGTGTTACCTGGTACATACCCAGGTTCTTTACCTGCCACACAAGAGAGGCCCAATAAAACTGGAATGCCAGGCTTATGGCAAGGAAAGCGTTTTTATTTCGGGTGACGTCAGCCGGGAGACGAGAGCTCTCAATTTGTCCCGTCTCTCCGAAAGATGGGAGGCAAGGGGTTTTAAAGGTTGTGCTTGCAGGGAGGGGGAGCCTGTGGCCTTGCAGGTCAGCGCTTTCCCATCAGCCTGCGTTTGGCCTCGCGAGGCTGGTTGGAGAGAAGAGGAGGGCAAGATAAGGGAATCACAGATGGGTGTCCTTAGCTGTCTCCATGGCGGATGGTGGATAATTTGTAACTTCTATCTGCCTTGTGAAGTTCAGGGATACAAAGGTTTTAAAAAAACCCAATAGTTACATAGGAATGTAACTTAGAGAAGCAGGGAAAGAGGGTGAGTGCTTTTGGTTTTAACCCCATATGTTCTGGGTTTAATGTAGGGGAGCTGATATCAGGGCCGGTATCACCAGTGGCCACGTCTGCGTGGGTCAGAGCTCACGCTCCGCCCCCGGCCCCGAAGCATCAGGATCACCTGGGAACCGGCTACAACTGCGCATCTTATGCTCCATCCCAGACTCACAGAAACCCTGCGAGGGGAGCCCAGAATTCTGGATTTTAATAAGCCCTCCACCTCGTTAAAATCTGTGTGAGATTAACAAGGTGTGCCGTCAGATGCGAATTGGAAGAACAGGGTGGTGCACCGCTGCCCCCTTGTGGCGTTTCTGTGCATGAACCGCCGAGAGGCCACCTGCCAGAGGAGGCCTCAGAGACTGGGACCCAGCCGCCCCTTCCCATTCCACAGATGGAGAAACTGAGTCTCAGGGAAGGCAAGGGCCTTGCCCAAAGCCTCAGAGTGAGGCAGTGATAGAGCTAGGCCTTGGACTCTTTTCTGTCAGTGCCGGTTGCTGCAGCTTTCTTTTCTTAAAATACTATTTAAACAGATGCCTCTGAG